CTGCCGCTGAGGGCACCAGTTAGCGAAACTTACGCAGGGCAACGATCCAAGTCCAGACAAGAATCTCTGTTTGTGCATTTTATTCCAATAACAAAGTACATTCAACAGGTTTCCTTATATTTCGTTCCTTAAGCCTTTCCTATGGCTTTCCTTTCTTCTGGCTTGAATCACCCTGGTAAAAAAACCATGTGCCTACTAGTGCTCTATTCACATCACCACCTGTCTCCAATATATACACAATTACACCCACATCATCCAGTGCCCAAAACTGCCTTCATAATAAAAGCATAGAAATTACTTTAATAACAACAATAACTAAGAATACATTTACTATAAACACTAAACAGCAAGAAAATAAAAGTTTAAAGGTGGGGTAGGTAAGTTTGAGAAACCGGCTCGAGATACACTTTCTGTTATATTCCATGGAATGCTCTTAACATCCCGATAGCAATGAATATCTGAAGTGCTTTGACAAAAAATACATTAAAAAAAATCATCTGTGGAAGCCGTGGTACTGTAAAAAGCACGACCAATCATCTGAGCCGGCCCGGCTAAAGTAACTGGATGGCCTACCTGCCTGTCAGCCTTCCATCTGTGCACAAACGTATCTCGTGCCCTCATTGGTCATGTGCGCGTTTGTGTGTGTTGGAGGAGGGGCTCTGTAAGGAAGTGGGAGATTTTTTCCAGCTGTGTATTTTCAAATTCTAGCGCACTCGAGCTGGTTTCCAAAATGACCTACCCCACCTTTCAGTATTAAATAATAGAAAGCAATACATAGCTCCAACAATGACATGTCTTAATAATAGACAGAGTTCCTGTTGTCAGACTTTATGATCTCGTCCATGTTCTGATCTCAGGGTCGTAACCTGGCTGACCTGAGGAGGAGTATGACTCGGGGAACCTTCAGCATCAGCACCACGCTGCGTCTGGGGCGGCAGATCCTGGAGGCCATCGAGAGCATCCACTCTGTGGGCTTCCTGCATCGTGACATCAAACCGGTGAGTCACCGTGAGCTCGGAGCAGCGAGGCATATTTAATGCTCGGCTCTCATTTCAGTACACATAAGAATATCTTTATTTCTGCTGTCAGATTATTTATTGGCTGCCAGCTTTTTTGCTGACTCAGTTTCTTTGTTGCACTTACAGTAAGCTGGCTCAATAAAAGGGTTGGCTTAATGCCCAACAATTACCAGAATGTACATATTTTCTGCCTTTTGAGCTGCTGTATTAAAACATGTCACCATAGAGATATGTTTATTCCCCTGAAACTACAAGAGCATTATTAACATGTATTAATGTTTTTATTTTAGGGGGAACCTTTACAGTTGCAAAATCAATAAACAATCTACACGTGTATATAGCTAAGGCTTATTTACAACATAATAGTTCAAGTTATCATTTCAATCACATTTTACAGTTTTAAATCTCAAATATGATAATCAAAAACAATTACCATCAACAACAACAACACACAATAAACCAAACATTCAAGCTGAAATAATGGAACAAATAATGTGATTTTATGATTCTGTTTAACAACTGCCTCTTGTTTTTCTGCTTCAGTCCAATTTCGCAATGGGCCGCTTCCCGAGTACGTGTCGGACCTGCTACATGCTGGACTTCGGTTTAGCTCGTCAGTTCACCAACTCCTGCCAGGAGGTCCGACCTGTAAGTGCCCTGCTCTGTGACTGACTTTACACTGAGCTTAAAGCTGCACTTCACAATACTGATGTATAAAAAATGATATGGTTATTCTCTGTTGTGTTATTTGAAATGTATATGTTAAAGTAGTGATGCCAGAAAGCAAACCTCTACTCAACAGTGGCTGTATAACCTCTCCTCTCTCTCTTAGTATACCTAAGCTGTAATGAGGAGAAGTATAAAAAATAGGAGTGCAGAGCTGTTCTTAACCCTGCCCTCCTAACACAAAATCCAGTCAGAACCGGTTTCCAAGTAGCATATATCACGAAATTGAGACATCCCAAGGTCTTCTAATCTTTGCGACTGGTACATTATGAACCTCCTCTGATGTCAAAGGCCCCAATGTGTCTTTTTTTAGTTATTTAGCAGATGATTTAAATCAGTGACTTTCTAAAAATAACAATTAATTAAATTACTATGTGTAATGCAAAATGTCCCCTGTAGTCACATAACCTCAGTCACTCCTTCTCATAATGTGATATGATAACACAAATGCAGAAAAAGGAAATGTTTAATGTGATCTAATAATATTTGGGGGTCAGAGGTTATATAAAAGATAGGTGGATATACAACTTGTTTCTTTAAATAGTTTTGACTTTATTTTTGACAACATTTTTTTTGCTGAATTTAAATAGTAAAATGTTTGTATTTAATGTCTGTTCCTGTCTTTGTTCATCAGCCTCGTCCAGTGGCAGGGTTCAGGGGAACTGTCCGATATGCATCCGTCAATGCACACAAGAATAAGGTCAGTAACTATTATCCACTTATTCATATGCATTACACAACTTTCTCTTTTCTGACGATGATCCAATATAATTGATGACTGTGAACTCAACCTTGATGTGGTTCTGCAGGAGATGGGTCGTCACGATGATCTGTGGTCTCTCTTCTACATGCTGGTGGAGTTTCTGGTCGGGCAGCTGCCATGGAGGAAGATCAAGGACAAAGTAAGCAGAGCAAATAATCGCTGCCTGTCCTTCATGGAAACTAAACAGCCCTGTCCAGGTAGCTGTAAGTGATGAGATGTGACGTGTGTGACTTGTGTGTGTGTGTGTGTGTGTGTGTGTGTGTGTGTGTGTGTGTGTGTGTGTGTGTGTGTGTGTGTGTGTGTGTGTGTGTGTGTGTGTGTGTGTGTGTGTGTGTGTGTGTGTGTGTGTGTGTGTGTGTGTGTGTGTGTGTACCCAGGAACATGTGGGGAAGCTGAAGGATACTTACGACCACCGTCTCATGCTCAAACACCTGCCGGCAGAGTTTGGTGTTTTCTTGGAACACATCGCCACACTCGACTACTTCACAAAGCCAGACTACCAGGTGATGACATTTTGGTTTTGCTAAATGATGCTATTGCTACATATTTTAGTAAAGTGTGCAGTGCATGATTTAGAAATATCTCCTCAAGTCAATGTGGTATCTTCCTGTTTTTAAGAACCACAAGTGTTTGTTCTTTTTCTGTAGACTCTTGCTGAATAAAATAAAAATGTTTTGTATTTTCGTGTTGTTACAGCTGCTGATGTCAGTGTTTGACAACAGCATGAAAACCTACAATGTTGTGGAGAATGACCCTTATGACTGGGAGCGGACCGGCACTGATGGCACTTTTACAATCAGTGCTAGTGCCACAACACCGCAACATCACACACGCCTCACTCCGGCACACATGGGGTATGCTTGATTGAATTAAAACGTTTTTTAGTAGAGTTAATTCCAGTGCTATTTGTAATACATACTGTAACAATAGGTGGTTGAAATTCCACAATTCGTACAAGTACAATTGTAAGACATAATCAGCGATATGTGAAATGGGATAGAATATTGGCCTAGACACTCAACAGAAATAATTACAATATATATTTCTAACAAAACTAGAATTGGAGAGAGTTCATGTATTCGACTGAACCACGTCCTGTTAAACTGTTGTGTCGTGCCTTGTTAAAGCACTTTGAGCTGTACCTGATACATACAAATTGCTATTCAAATAAATCGTATTATTATTAGAAACGAAAAATTGCTTTATACATAATATAATGTGTGTATCTTTGTCCCGCAGTATGGCGAATGCCTCCCTGATCCCTGGCGACCTGATGAGGGAAAACACAGACGAGGTTCTGCAGGACGAGCAGCTCAGCGACGCGGAGAACAACCCAGCCCCGGACCGCCTGCCGGGATCCCCCCTCCACCCCCACCGCAACCAGGAGGCGGACGTGTGGGAGGAGCTGGACCGCAACCGTAACCGCATCAGGACGGCGGTCTGGAAGGTAGAATATAGTTTTATCCACTCAGATAATTGATCTCCAGTTATACGAATAGCAATCCACCATTTTTGTAATCCTTTGCTAAAAAAAACTGACTTCTTTTCCATAGGCGGCAACGGAGGAGGAACACAGCAACAACCAGGGCAACCACGCAAACCAGAACCCCTACGTTGGGCCGAGTCTCGGATCTCCAGTCAAACTGCACTCTGAGCTGGGGGCGTCAGACCGCGATGGCCCCTTGCTGAGGAAGATCCGCAACATTCACAGTCTGGATATAGAGAGGAGGCTCAGCCTAGAAGCCAAACCCAGTCCAGAGCGCTTCCTGGAGACCTGGTATGTCTATCAAGTAACCTTCCATTCAATGCTTGCAATTTTGTTGGCCAATTCAGATTTTTTCAATTGTCTGACATGCACATGTATCCAATAACTCTAATTGACAGCACTCACAAGTAGGGATGGGTATCGTTAAGGTTACTACTACTTTTATCGATACCGCTTATCGGTCCGGTCTTTTAACGGTACTTTTATCGGTTCTTTTGGAGAGAAAAAATAAGATAAACTAACTAAACAAATTGTGAACAAAACTAACATTGCGTTGTATTTAAATTAAATACATAATATTTCACATCAAAAGAAACAACAACGTTTTCACAAATCGTATTAAATAGTCTGATGACAGAACTGTAAACAGAATAGCTGAAACTTTAACAAAATAAATAACTCAGTTACCTCTAATCATTAACCCATGTTTGTATAATGTAGTTAACTCTGTGTGTTGCTGCTAGCATACATAACACCTGACGTGGAAACGTTACTCGTGGACGGGGCTACAGAGCTGCTAGAAAGACAGTGGAACCCGGTGCATTCCTCCGTCTGGATGTGGAGCACTTTTGCTAAATGTTTCGACAATTTGCTCGTGTTACCGCCCTGACATGCTAAACTCTTATTGCACTTTAGGCGGGTAAAGTTTAACCACACCTCGGAGCGCGTTCTCTCCGCCGTCTCCTCCGTGTGTGTGTGTGTGTGTTGCTGCATGTAGCAGCTGCGTGTGTGTAAACTGCCCCGCCCCCTCGCAAGCAGGCGGGCGAGAGAGATCGAAAATACTAAAAGCTTTTTGCATATTAGAAACGGAGTTGGCGACACTAAAACTGCAATATAATGTTTGTGTAGCAATAATACACATCACATATATTTTTTAGATGTCTCCAGTACCGATAAAAAGACCGCTAACGTCGGAGCTTAACGGTACCACGGTCTTTAATAATTCAGCCCCGGGGCCCGTTTAATACCGGGGCTCGGTACCCATCCCTACTCACAAGCATTTTGTAACTTTTCTTTCATGGAAAACTGACAAAATCATCATCCTTCTTTCCCTCTCATTCACACTAATACCACAATAATAGTGCTTCAGGTATCTGGACAGATACAATTAGATTAGAAATAAAGTGCGATACATCTCACCTCATCTCACATGTTTCACTTTCTAAGAAGAAAACAGGTGCAACAAACTTAATGTAACTTCCTCCATGGCTTAGTTTGAACTATCAGATGTTTCATATATGCAAGCTTTTTTGTCTTCTTTACTCACAATGAAAGAACTTGCACACCAACGAAAAGGTGTGTGTATATCGACATTTGTATTCATTGGGATAAACCCCTTGAGATGCACCATCTCGTTTTCAAGGGGGTCCCTCCAATAGCAACAACTTACAGGCATACATAAACAAAAAGACAAAATTCAAAACATGACACACAAGACAAACCACATGCAGTCTGTTAAGTGAAATTCAAGCAATGCATACGATCAATACAATTTGAGA